AATATAACATTTGTTACATTTGACCACTTTCTAAATTGCATTGTGTGTTCATTCTAAAGTTTTTATTTGGATAGGTAAGTTAGAAAACACCTTGGCATGGATTGGGTTCTGATAAAATTTATAAATCTAAAATCTGACTGAGGCACATAGATTTTATGGATTAGTTGCTCAGACGGTTGATTAGGGTTTAACATTTATGTTTGACTTGTAATGAGTGAGTGAGTATGGTTTTATGCTGCTTTTAGCAATATTCCAGCAATATCACAGAGGTGGACACCAGAAATGAGCTTCACACATTGTACCCATGTGGGGTATCGAACCTGGGTCTTCAGTGTGACGAAGGATTCTTTAACCACCAGGCTACCTGACCGCCATTTGACTTGTAATGACCATGATGATGGTTTATATTGTTGGAAAAATTATGTTTTAGTCATATAAATATCTTGGATTATTTTTATTGTCAAAGGGATCTTTACTGTTGGTAGTATGAAAAAAACCACCTGTTTATGGTCGATGGATCGGTAAAATGTAAGGCCTATAACCGGGCATATATTATGAGATTATGCAGATGTATTATACAGATTTATTTGTCAACTGTGCAATATGCATGATATATGATGCAGTGTGTGACATTCTGCATGAAAGGTCAAGGCCCTTGTAACCATACACAGTGCAACAGTTTGAAGTTCAACGTAAAGATTTATAAGTTTTAGAGGTTAATATACCATGGTAACCAACCCCAAGGACCAGAGGATTCCCGCACCTGCTGTGCCCTCTCAGTAATTTATGGTGGAATTGATCCTGTGTAACCTTTTGATTGTTGTAAGAATCGACTAAAACGGATCTGTTGTCAGGCTTGGTATTTGGCTGGTTGTGCCCCAGTGACATAGGTTGTGGTTCATGTTTTCAATCACTGGTTTGTCTGATCAGCACTTGATTATTTATAGGCCTCCGTGATGTGGCAGGAATGAAACTGTTTGTGTAAAAAACACTCAACTACTTCACTGGACTCACTTACACTAGCAGCAGCACTGAGAAAAATTTATGATTTCCCTGTACCATGTTGTACCACATATGTGTTGCAACAACCGGGGTAGAATAGGTCTTCAGCAACCCATGCTTGCCATAAAAGGCGACTATGCTTGTCATAAGAGGCGACTAATGGGATCGAGTGGTCAGGTTCGCTGACTTGGATGATGCATGTCATCATATTCCGATTGAGTAGATCGATGGTGACATGATTTCAACACTGGATTGTCTGGCCCAGACTCAATTATTTACAGACCGCCATCATATAGCTGGAATACTGCTGAGTATGGCGTTAAACAAACGAACAAAACCATATTTATTGCAGCATCCCTTACGGGTTCTGGGTAGGACTTGGTCACCAGCAACCTGTATTGGTCGTAACATTGCCGGTGACAAATTGGTTCATTGCGTGTCACTGTACACTGTCGGCAAGGATCGTCACAATGTCAATCACTGCGTTATCTGGTCCAGACTTGATAATTTACAGATACCGACTAATGGCTGGAATATTGCTGAGTTAGGCCTTAAGCAACAAACAAACCCATATTGCAGCAACATTGCTAAGTATGCAGTGGTTTGAAACCTCTCTCACTTATTTGAATGAGGACTATCTTCCCACATGCTCCTATGTTATAAAAATACTGTTGTACATCTGCTGATCTGCATTCAAGGAGTCAGGATCCAGGCAGGCCTCAGTGTTACAGTTGAGATAAACCCCCTTCTGTGGTCTAGTGAATGGAATGTCTGCCCGGGGAGTGGAAGATTGTTGGTTCCATCCCAGGCTTCATTAACGATGTCAAAACTTGTTGTTACCCTGTCTGGCGCTCAGCATTGAAGGGATAGGAGAAAATACAGGCACAGTCTTGCAGTCTGACTTCGTGGTATGTTTTTGCCTTTCACTTCCTGGTTCGGCTTATCTACAGGTCATATCATGTTCTTTCATATTTTAATGGTCAACATGGTCAAGTTGATACCTCGGCTTATCTACGGGTCATATCATGTTCTTTCATATTTTAATGGTCAAGTTGATACCTCGGCCTATCTACGAGGTCAGCTTATCTGGGGTCATATACAGTATACTGTGTTTGATTGTAGGGATGTGGCATGGCATCTCAATGAGCTGGGATTATAGACACACACCCACCTCCCACTCCACCAACACACACTCATGTGCATGCATGTTGCTATATCAATGCGATAATTTTTAACATGTTAAAGTTAAACCCCATTTGACCTCAGTCATCTAAATTGAGATATTATGCAGGTGGAGACTGTCAGTCAGTCTATGTGCTGTACAGAGTACCTGACCGGTGGTAGACAAGTTGTATGTTTATATCTCACCAGATGGCTTCTGTTACACCTATCCCACAGTACCTCACAGAGGAGGGGCATATCTGGCCACGATGCTCGGTGCTCGTTTACAGACAATCATCATGCACTTCACCTGGCAGAGGCAGTTCCTGAGGAGCTCTTCCTCAGCCTCGTACGTGGTGTGTGAGCGTCAGAGATATATCATATCATCTTTAGTCAGCCTAATGTGGCTATTTGTAGAACTGTGTGTACGTCATGAAGAAATTAATCATGTGTTATTCATGTTTATTGCATTTCAAGTGTATATGATATTTAGAAACATATCTGTCTCTCAACTAAAGAATATTGCTCTGTAGACATTTTTTTATTATTATGAGGTGCTGTTTCAACTAATCTTGTGTTGTTCTGACTATCAGTTTAAGATGGTCTCAGCCGTACGCCTATTGATTTTAACGCTCTGATTTTCTTTTTTGTTATTGTTGTACATTGTTGTGGTATTGGTATTCATGGTATAATGAGCGTCCGCCCGGAGAGCGGAAGGTTTGAGGTTCGATCCTCGGCCACATCATACCAAAAGACATTAACAGATGGTACTTGTTGTTACCCTGTCTGGGCTTGGCATTAAGGGACTAAAACAAGGACTGGTCGGCTAGGAGTCAGTATACTGTGTCTGAGTGGGCTATTCATGTTAAACTGCGGCATGGTATCTCAGTCCGCTAGTACTATAAATCATCATCAGTCCGGACTAGTACAAGCAGCCACACACACAGACAAACACATACATGCACGTCGCTATATAAGTGCAATAATCTTAAACGTGACGTTAAACTCCATTTTACCTCACTTCACCTCATGGTATCCGGTATTCCTGTAACTCATGCTTGTTGTAAGCGGCAACTATCCTGGATTCAGGCTCAGTGACTCAGTGACTCATGACAAACAACTACATACTCGTCTGTGCCATTTTAATTTTTGTCTACTGGGCCAAACTTGTATTTTTGCCCTATTTTCAATATACTGTAGTCTTCGTTTATGAGGTAGTATCAGCTTATCTAACTTGCCCAAAAGAAACGTTACTAGACCTGGGCTTTGGACTAGTGGCTAAATTTACAGACTGAAGTTTGTTTTTTATTCATCTTCCCGATGCAATGGCGTTAACTGGCTATTAAACTGGCATTAAAAGTCCAGTTTCCACCCTTGCCGAACTTGTGGCTGGAATTTCAAGGGTCGATCGTAGGGCCACCCGTGGCTATTATGAGTTATGTCCCTTCTATGTACCCAGTTAAGACGATCTGATTGATTATTAAGATCTTTGTTGTAATAAAATGGGTCTTACCCCGTGAAGTACATCAAATCACTTGAGCACCATGATTAAAAACATTCAAAGGTTTGCCAAATATCGACGTTGATGTCCAGTTGGCTGAACATGCTGAACACATGCTTTGCAAAATCCTGCGGTTGACTGAAATGTGCACGTTAAAATCCACATTGTTTCCAAACCGGATCTCTAGTTCATTATGAGATTTTGATTGGACTATGCATAGACTCATTAGTCCAGCCAAAAAGTAACTGCGGAATTCCAGCCTAGTCAACAAGGGTGAGAACTGGACTTTTACAGGCAGTTGGCACCCTTGTCTCGGGAAGATGGTTTAACTGAGATCTGAATAAATTTCATTGACACATGATCAAACAATTAAAAAAATTTTTTCAATATTTTGTGTCCTGAAACTGGTGTCATTCTTGTGAGTTGACTATCAATGCCATCATTTTTGTATCTTGTAGACTGTGTCTGTATCATATAGGTGTGATGCTCCTACTTGTAGTGTAGTCCTCTGTAGATGTGGGGGCATGGGTGGCCCAGTCGTCTAAGGCGTCACAATTCGCTGTGCAGAGTTATGCCCCTTGGGCACGCCAGAAACCTATGATTGTGGGTTCGAATCCCGGTTCGCCCCAATTATGTTTCTAGGTTTGTCAGCACCATACCTGTGCTCGTGGGTTTCACCGAAGTGGTAAATGTCTGAGACCTGCATCACTTCGGGCTTTCCTCCCACATTAAGCTGACACGCCGTGATATAACTGGAATACTGTTAAAAGCGGCGTTATACCAAACTCACTCACTCACTCACTCTCTGTAGATGTAAAACTGCTCACTGTAGAGAATAGTAGCAGGAGAGATGCTGTCAGCATGGCTTAAGTACCAATACATCAGAGACTGGATCAGTATTTCAATGTCACAGTATTTCATTCAAGAAAGATGCAGCTTTGGAAATTGATTTAGTTTCTAATTTAAGTAACACGTCGTAGGAGGATTTAATAATCCATTGAGCTTATTAAGTATTTATTTGTTGAGATATTAGTCGTGGGACATGCTAAATATAGCATCACCTGAAATTACTCTGCTGGATATCATGTAGGTGTTGGATTTACAGTGTATAGGGAAACATTCTAACCTTTAAATGACTCAACCGGGTTGGACACCTTGCCTTGATTCTAAGGTGCTCTGAGTAATGATTCTTTCCTGTGTTATCCATGTTGTGTGTGTTATGCTGCTACAAACTTCTCTTTGACAACACATCATTATTTATATCCTCCCACTTTTTTGAATAATTTTCACAAATTGTTCCTGGCCATTTAGTGTTGGTTTTCTGTGTTACCCCCAGGTGTCCCTGTGAAGGCTGTGAGCAATCCATGGAGGACCAGTGCTAGTGGCCTGTTTGGCCCGGTCAGCAGAGTGTCATAATGGATGCAGTACCACCCAGACAACACATGTAAGTATATACATGTGGTATTGATTAATTATCAAGTTGATCGTTTCAGGGGGAGGAAGACTTGTAACTGCAAGGGATTATTTAATCTTGTTTACTTGTATCTGGAACTGGTGAAAATGTGTCAAGATGTCCACAGTTTGTGATAGCTGATGTGTATTCTGAGAGGACCATAGATTACATATGATGTAGGCCCATCCCATATAGACCATATGGGCATGTGTGATAATTTTCCGTAATTGTCAGTGTTTTCAAATTCAATATGGCTGCCAAGAGATCTGTTTTGAAATTCCCAATTTAACAATTTCTCTACCATTTGTGTCTATCCTCTCATGGACATGGTGTTTTGTGGAATCCATTTTGTTGGAAAATCGAAACTGGCTTTTCTCTGGCGTCAGTATTTTATATATATTTGTAGTCAGTGGGTGTCAACTAGTGTCAACATATATCAAACATTGGTTTCCGCCCTTTTGTAGATTTTAGCCATATAAGTCCCCTTAAGTCTGGTGAAGAAATAAATCACAGAATCCTGATCTGATTTTCGTTATTGTCCCCTTGAGATGCCATGGATCTGTCCTATTCAGCACATATTGCTGGGACCAGATTTAAATAGGCCTTTATTAATTATATTATGCAAATATTACACTGAGATTATTCTGTCCTCTCACACCATCAAGACAACACAACACAGGCATACTCTCCTTAAATAACGCGACTGATGCCTTTAGGGAAATATACACGCTAAAGATTTCATGACATATAACATTCGACTCACTTTGAAAGTACGTGGATAGCAACACTGGCACCAATTTTCTGGCATCGCTATCAGTATTATTCTCTCTGAAACAGGATGTATGCGTGTGATGCATGCTTTACATCCTCAAGCCCTCTGCAGCGTACATTGTATCTCATGGCAAAACTTTCCCAGAATGTGACTCACCCTCCACACATGATCCATGCATGTTGGGGTGAAGAGCAGAACACTAGCTTGAACCACCACGTCAGAACATGGGAAAAGCTTGCTGCTCACACTGGCTCCATTACCCTAATGTGAAGAATGATTTAGGGGTGTTTAGGGGTTTACAGTGTTAGAAATTCAGGCAGAACACCAGCTTAGACCAACCGGTCAGAACAAGGGGAAACATGCAGCAGCAGCGTTCAAGGTTAGGATGCTGCCCACATGGTCCGTTAAACTAATGTGAAGAATGATTTAGGGGTGTTTAGGGGTTTACAGTGTTAGAAATTCAGGCAGAACACCAGCTTAGACCAACCGGTCAGAACAAGGGGAAACATGCAGCAGCAGCGTTCAAGGTTAGGATGCTGCCCACATGGTCCGTTAAACTAATGTGAAGAATGATTTAGGGGTGTTTAGGGGTTTACAGTGTTAGAAATTCAGGCAGAACACCAGCTTAGACCAACCGGTCAGAACAAGGGGAAACATGCAGCAGCAGCGTTCAAGGTTAGGATGCTGCCCACATGGTCCGTTAAACTAATGTGAAGAATGATTTAGGGGTGTTTAGGGGTTTACAGTGTTAGAAATTCAGGCAGAACACCAGCTTAGACCAACCGGTCAGAACAAGGGGAAACATGCAGCAGCAGCGTTCAAGGTTAGGATGCTGCCCACATGGTCCGTTAAACTAATGTGAAGAATGATTTAGGGGTGTTTAGGGGTTTACAGTGTTAGAAATTCAGGCAGAGCACCAGCTTAGACCAACCGGTCAGAACAAGGGGAAACATGCAGCAGCAGCGTTCAAGGTTAGGATGCCGCCCACATGGTCCGTTAAACTAATGTGAAGAATGATTTAGGGGTGTTTAGGGGTTTACAGTGTTAGAAATTCAGGCAGAACACCAGCTTAGACCAACCGGTCAGAACAAGGGGAAACATGCAGCAGCAGCGTTCAAGGTTAGGATGCTGCCCACATGGTCCGTTAAACTAATGTGAAGAATGATTTAGGGGTGCTTGGGTATACAGTGTTAACATTAAGGATTCCCAGTGATTTGTTAGGCTTTGTGCCGTTACATTTTCACCTGACCCGTCTGAAATACGCTCATTATCAGGGTCAGTAATATACTTATGTTTACAATGATTTAGGGGTCCTTTGGATACATTGTTGATAATTAGGGGGCCATAAGGGTTCTTTATCTTTTGTACATTATTATATGACTTCTCTGACCTCCCCTATGTCTTTCCTCCTGTCATATTGGGGCGGTCGGGTAGCCTAGTGGTTAAAGCGTTCGCTCGTCACACCGAAGACCCGGGTTCGATTCCCGACGTGGGTACAATGTGTGAAGCCCATTTCTGGTGTACCCCCTCCGTGATATTGCTGGAATATTGCTAAAAGCGGCGTAAAACCATACTCCTTCTGTCATATGAGGGTAACCACTGGCAGTGACCATGATGGCAAGGATGGCAAGGACATGCTTACCCTTTCCCAAACACCTGGTGTCATCACTGATTTTCAGTGATCCGTTCATATATTTTTCACTGCTGTTTTAACTTTTTTAACCCCAAATGGAATCTGTTTTGAGAGATAATATTCTCTGACGTTGAGGTTTTATATTTGCATTCATTCTTTACTTTGAGAAATTCCCTATATTGGAACACTATAATCCAAACATCAAACATGTCAAAGGCATATCAGGAAATCTGTAAGGCTATGGTTAACCCAGTTAACTGAGAAATTAAATATTCAGAAGTTGATAATTTTAATCTTTTCTGTGAAAGAGAATGCATATGAGGAATAATTAATCCTGATTAAACCAATGAACAAGATGAATGCACAGAAAATCGGAGTGTTTGCTTGGGATATTGAAAGAACAAGATTACTCCGCTTCGATCCTGCTTTCCCAGGGTCACTTTGATCTTTCCCAGACTGGAATAAAAGCGACTTGATCATCATCACCCAGTATCAATATGTACAGCAGGCAGTGGAGGAATATTGCGTACTACTGCCAAGCTGCTTCAGAATGGGTGTTACCTCTGAGTAAAGGCCATACATTGAACCAATCATGTGTCTGGGATATGTCCTCACTATACAGTACAGCAACTGATTATTGGTATTTAATATGAGGACATACATGCTGAAGAGAACATACATGCTGAAGAAGGACATTAAATTTTGCAACCATCTTTCTTTTATGACTGCCCAGATTAGGTAAGGGAGCTGTGATTTATTACGGGTGGTCAGGGATGGGGTGGTGGTGGGTTAGAGAATCAGATGCACTAATGTACTTAAAATGATGACCTTCCTCTATATATCTGTCAAATTTTGGGATGACATGTCCATGTCCCATATGACCTCCCTGAAAAGACAAAATGTAAAATGTCCATTTTTAATTACCCTCCCCTAGAGACTGTCATATGATACCTCCCCTGATTCCCTCTGACCCACCCAGTGATAAATGATTGGTGTCTTAGTGCAATTATGCTTCAAAATTGTTTTGTTGGTTTTGGTCAAATGTGGCTTGTCTGGGACCTGGCATCTAGCTGTCAGGTTGAGAATAGACAAAGTGTGTATTTATTGATCTTGTTCTTCTCAGCTTTTCCATTTGAATACTGTCATTGATTGCCTTTTGACCTGTAGTATCCCATCTTTATGGATTTTGTTTTTGTATTGTAGGGGGATAGTATAGTTGACTATGTTGTTATTTTGTGCATTTTCCCTACACTATGATCACACAGGGAAGGTGTGCATTTTCAGTTATACATTGACATCTATATGACAAGATGTGCTTTGGGTCAGTAAAAAGCAACACCAAAATCAAGTTAATACTCACTCACTCACTCACTCACTCACTCACTCACTCACTCACTCACTCACTCACCCAGTCACTCACTCACTCACTCACTCACTCACTCACTCTCTTCAATGCTACTTATTTCACGATGATACTCAAGATTTTGTTGCTGATGCAACATATATACATGTGTATTTGGCTTTACATGAAGAAGATAGGAAATATTCATCATGTTCGTTGCCATGTTTACATTGCGATCAAAACATGTAAGTTCAAGTACTCCGCAATATGTCTTAAAATGATAACATATAGCAAAACCCTTAAAAAAGGCAAATTTCTACAAGTCCTTATCATGCTATGATACCTTCACTGTTACAGTTTGGCAAGCACTATGGGACTACTGGCAATTTCTATTGCTGGTACTGTCACTGTACTAGTTGGGTTTTATGGCAAGTTGCCTATTTCTGATGTTGGATAAGTACTTTAGTGTAATCTGTTTCAGGCTGAATTGTCCTATAACTCTCCAGTGAGTCTCTTCCCTGAGGGCTGCAGCACTTGGAATAAACATTTAATGAATCCAAAGTGCACTGTGATCTCTGGGGTATTACTTGACTTGGTTTAGTATTATGTTGCCGTTGCTTATGAACGGGTCTGTGAGAAGAGGTATTATTCAGTCTGTTAATGGAACCAGGACTAACAATGACTAAGTAGCGGCATTAGAAAGTGGCACCAGTCCTGTAGTCCTTGCCAAATTGCCCAATAGTTAAGGTATCATGAGGACAAGTAGAAATTTGCCATTTTTATGGGTTTTGTTATGTGTTATCATTATAAGGACTAGTGGACTAAATCTGTTGGTTTCTAATGCTGATGTAGGAACCAATGCCCGTACCTTGTAGATGCATTACAAAACATTTGGATCATCCTGCAAACAGGACTGACTACAAGAACTAGGAAGGCACCAATGTCTGAACCTTGCAGAAGATGCATTAGTGGAAGTACAGATCATCCTGCAGACCGGACTGACTAAAAGGACTAGGAAGGCACCAATGTCTGAACCTTGCAGAAGATGCATTAGTGGAAGTACAGATCATCCTGCAGACCGGACTGACTACAAGGACTAGGAAGGCACCAATGTCTGAACCTTGCAGAAGATGCATTAGTGGAAGTACAGATCATCCTGCAGACCGGACTGACTACAAGGACTAGGAAGGCACCAATGTCTGAACCTTGTAGAAGATGCATTAGTGGACGTACGGATCATCCTG